TTGAAGTGTGCCAGAATCGGAGGGGTAGTGAGAAGAGCGACGAAAGTCGAGAACGCAGAAGCCTCTTCGGAGCCCCATGAAAACGGGACTTCTTTCTTGAGGAGCTGCGTAAGCGGCCTTGCTATGTGTGCAAAATTTTTCACGAAGCGTCGGAAGTAGGAGCAGAGCCCGATAAAGCTGCGTACATCCTTCGCAGATCGTGGTACAGGAAAGTTTTTGACGGCGCTGATTTTTGCAGGGTCTGGTTGTACACCATTGGCGTCTACTAAATGGCCAAGCACTGTGATTTGATGGCGTTCAAAGTGACATTTGAACGAGTTGAGCTGCAGGCCAGCGCGACGGAAGATTCCCACGATGGCTGAGAGGCGCTCTATGTGAGTTCCAAATGTTGGTGAAAAGACGATGACGTCGTCCAAGTAGCACAAACAGGTGGACCATTTGAATCCTCTGAGCAGGGAGTCCATCATTCGTTCGAAGGTGGCAGGAGCGTTACAAAGGCCGAAGGGCATGACCTTGAACTGATATAGGCTATCGGGGGGGGGGGGATGAATGCCGTCTTTTCACGGTCCATTTCATCTACCTCTATCTGCCAGTAGCCGGAACGAAGGTCTATGGAGGAAAAATAGTGGGACCCATAGAGGCAATCAAGCGCATCATCTATTCGAGGCAGAGGGTAGACGTATGTTTTGGTAATTTTGTTTAAGTGTCGATAATCTACGCAGAAACGCCATGCACCGTCTTTCTTGCGAACTAGCGCTACAGGAGAAGCCCAAGGACTGCAGGATGGCTCAATGATGTCCCTGGCGAGCATTTTGTCGACCTCACTTTGGACGATGTGACGCTCGGCCGCCGACACCCGATATGGACGCCTATGAATAGGATGCTCATTACCAGAGTTTATGCGGTGGCTCATACCGGTAGCTTTCCCCAACGGACGGCCGCTGATGTCAAAAACATCTATGTAGGACAGCAGAGCCCGGTGGAGCTCATCAGTCTGCTGCGGCGTTAAGTTGGAAGTGATCATCGAAGTAATAACGCTGTCGGAGCAAGTGGCAGATTGATGTTGAGCGTGGGGGTCAGAAGGGGTGGCCATCGCGAAAACATCTACCGCATTGTCTTCTAAGGTGCAGAGCAACGCCAAAGAGATCTCTTGTGGCAAATTTCGAGGTGTCAAGCTAAAGTTGACAACTGGGAGGCACGTAGAATTTCCTGCGACGGACAGAATGCTGTGCGGTAATGTAATGCCACGGCTTATGAGGACATCGGTGATAGGGGTCAGAACATAGTCACCGTCGGGAACTGGTAGTATTGAGACGAGCTCTATGTAGGTCAGTGTCTGTGGAGGGAGGCGCACGTGTCCCGTTGTGCAGAGGCGACTCGGCCGTTGTGTAAGAGGTTCTGTAACGGGCAAGTGTAGATGGAGCGTACTGGTCGAACAGTCAATGAGGGCAGAATGAGCGGACAGGAAGTCGAGGCCTAAGATTACGTCGTAGGGGCATTTATCAAGGACGGTGAAGAGAACAACTCTGTGTCGATCCACAATGCTCACGCGAGCGGAGCACATTTCAACGATAGATGCTATTCCACCATCCGCAACACGGACGAACTGAGTGGTCGTAGGTGTGAGAACCTTCTTGAGCTTGCGGCGAAAATCACTCGTCATCACGGAAAGTTGGGCGCCGGTGTCGACAAGAGCAGTGACATGTACGCCGTCTACCTGTACATCTATGAGGTTCTGTTTTGTCGGTATCGTCAAAAGAGGATTTTCGGTCAGTCCGAGCGATGCAGCGCCACCTTGGGGGGGGGGGGGGGCTGCAATGCTTAGTTTTCCGTCGGAGAACCTCGTGGGATAGCGGGGGAAGATGGTCGGCGGGGCTGTGGAGAACGAGATTGGAGACGTTGAGGGGATGGAGAGCGGGAGTAGCGGTGTTGAGAAGCAGGTTCCTGGGCAAAATGGTCGTGGCTGGTCTCATGGCGATAGGCAGGACGTGCATAGAAGGGACGAGAGGACGGTTGTGCAGGAGGACCCCGGCGACTTCTGCAATGGCGAGAAATGTGCCTGATTCTGTGACACGAAAAGCATATCGGCTTGTCATCGTGTGTTCACCATGCGGACGGATTACGGAACGTTGAGGGAGAGCCGGTCGGGAGGGGACGTGCAGGCGTGTATTGAGGCTGGTAGTCGGTGCGGGGAGGCGGTGAGATAGAGTGAATTCCCAAGCTGGCGATTTCCTGCGGGACGACTGCTTGAATGAGAGGCAACGTAATTGGCGCAGAGGGGTCAGAGGACGTTGGTCCCACCTTAGCTGGAGCAGCCGCTTCAAGCTCCCGCCTGACGATTCGCGTCAAGTTGTCACAGGTGCCTGGTGGATGATATGTGTCGAGACACGAGGACGTCGCAGTGTTGTTCGGGAGGCGCTGGAACTGAAGGCAGATGCATCTGCTTTTAGCTTGTTGGAACCGGCGGCATTCTTGAGTGATCGCATCAACAGATGACACATTGTTGAATACCAACAAGTTGAACGCATCGTCGGCGATACCCTTCAGGGTATGCGCAACTTTTTCAGGTTCAGACATATTTTTGTAAGCTTGGCGGCATAGTGAAAGGACAGCCTGAATATAACCAATGTAGGGCTCCGTGGAAGATTGTGCGCGAGTCGACAACTCATTTTTCGCAGCTTCATGACGACCAGAGATGTTGCAAAAAAGCTCACGGATCTTTGCCTTAAAGCTGTCCCAGCTTGTTATGTCATGCTCGTGGTTATCAAACCAAACACCAGGGGTTCCGTCGAGATAAAAGATGACTTTTGCGAGCATAAGAGTGGGATCCCACCTTTAAGTGGCGCTGACGCGTTCGTAGAGGCGTAGCCACTGGTCGACGTCGGAACCCTCGCTGCCCAAGAACACGCCGGGGTCTTTGAGCGCGGGAAGCGTCACGAAAGTTGTTGCGGGCGCTGGGTCGACAGCTCGGGCAGAAGGGGGAGCGACCGGAGAGGATGTAGCCGAGTCTTGAGTGGTCATGTTGTAAGCCGCGAGGGAGCGTCCACTTCAGAGTTCTGTGGCGAGGACGGGGATCGCACAACTCCACCAAATATGTTACGGGAAGGAGACTGACTCAAAGGGGTAGTCCCCGATCTATTTACAGCCGGTTAGGCGAGCAGCGCCAGCCACACAGATTAGCTCGTGCCCGTCTATCTGCTTTGTCTTCTTCTGCTCCACGCACTAGCACGTAGCAATATAAAAAAAGATGTAAATAATATGTTCAAGATTGTTCGCTATTATATGAAAATAATCACCCGTGTATGTTTTCTGCTTTTTGCGGTTTCTAGTTTTCTGATTTTATGGTGCCATTTCACCTTTTTCCCTGCTCCGGTTAACAACGATTGCATTGTTTACCGGAGCTAGTTCACATCGAAGTTTGTGAGCGAGCATCAGTGTGTGCTCATTAGGTGATCTGTATTCATCGAGCAGGGAAAACGAAGACAGCGGTGCGTCGGGAAATATTGTGTTTCCCGCACATGCAGTCACCAAAAAGTTTTGTACCAGTAATATATTCAGCAATAGTCGGACTGTTATTGCTATACCCACCTTGAAAGTTACACCGGTGACCTGCCAGTCTTCAGCAACATGAGCTGTTTAGAAGAAAAAAATTGGCAGCATATCCACGGAGTGAATGATGGAGAGTGGGGCGAAGCATTCGTCTGTCCATTCATTCTTGCTTCCATCCGTCAATGCGTCCGTCTGTGTGACCGTCCGTGCGTTCATTCTCCCGTCCGCGCGTGCGTCTGGTCTTGCGTCCGTTCCTGCGTTCATCCATGCATCCGGCCCCACGTCCGTTCATGCGTTCATCCATGCATCTGTATGTGTGTCCGTTCGTCCATTTATTCAACACTCAAAGTACCATCATCTCGCATCTTTTCATCATATATTCCCTATATAGAAGCACCGCTATCCAGCGGACATTCCAAAGACTAAACGAGAGGTGGCACACGCACACTTTCTTACGGCTTGCGCTTCGGGTCTACTTCCCACCTTTAACTACTTCGAGTTCATGGTATATACTAGTTCACTGTATTCATGGCACTGTGGCCCAACGCTCGCTAAACCTTTCAAAAAGCAAGGAGGTTACGCCCAGCGAGTATAACGTAGCAACCTTTTCCTGTCAGATAGTGACCCATGTACATGCCAATGGCTGCTAATGGAAAATGAGAGACAGGAGAATTCGGCTTTTACTTTCTTACGCCTTGCGCTTCGTATCTACTTGCCAACTTTAACCACCTCGAGTTCATTCATGGTATATGCTAGTTCGTTGTATTCATTGCACTGCGGCTCAACACTCGCAAAATCTTTCCGCCACGAACTGTTGGCCACCGCTAAACAAGCGCTGCCAGTCTACGCTGCGCGCGCCTTCTATCTTATCTCCCTCTTCCACTTCTCTTACCTTTCGTTCTTATAAAAGCCCAAGCCGGACAATAAACGCCCTCTTTTTGCCCTGGCCACTCTGTTCGTGCATTTCGGGGCGCGGCCCAGCCGCGGGGCCGGTTGTAACAGTGGCGACGAGTATTTCAACAAAGAACTAGACCCAGCTGCTTCCTGAAGGCGGGCAAGCAGCCACCCCATCGACAGGCATGAGTCACCGCCTCCCGGAATTCAACGACGACACAGATAAGTGGCAAGCGCACCTCGTGAAGGTTGAGGCATATTTTGAAGCAAACGAAGTCACTGACGCTGCCAGGAAAAGAGCCCTGTTGGTAGTCGCACTTGGGTCGCGAACGATTGATGTGCTATGTGGTAGAGTGGCACCGCAGAAGCCAAACGCACTCGGCTACGATGCGGTAGTGAAAGTTCTAAGCGAGTATTATGACCCACGACCAAACAAAATTTCAGAAAGCTTCAAGTTTTTCCACCGAAACCAGCAGGAAGGAGAGTCTGTTCACGCATTCATTATGGAAATACGGCACCTAGCGCATAACTGCAACTTCTCGTCCATGCTGGATAGGATGTTGAGGGACCGTATCGTGTGCGGGGTACGTTCAAGAAACTTGCAAAAGCAGCTGCTCGCGAAACCTGAGTTGACGTTACAAGAAGCAGAGGCACTTGCGTTGGCGGCAGAAAGTGCAGAGTTATGCCCCTGACACACGGGCACCCTGAAGTCCTTTAGACAAGGGGACATCTTTCGGAAAGGCGTTCGGGCGCAGTGACACACGACAAAGGAGTAACTCCTTTCCGGCAAAGATCCTTTTCGCAAAAGCAGATCCCGCATCTACTTTTCTGGCAGGAAGGGAGTACTCTCGCATACAGTGTGCATAATTTATCAATAGAAGAAAACGTGTCGCAACACTGCGGTGCCCTGTCAGTATTTTTTTGCGCTGAGAAAATGTTTTCATTTTCAGCAGCAGTGCGATTTGTTGAAAAGTGAAGGCCTATAGTCTGTCCATACTCTCAAACGCCTGTATTACGTCACTTGCGCGATCATGTTAGGGTTGGCAGCGGCAGTTGCTGTGTCGGCGACGTAGTATCTCGTAACAGTGGAGTCGGCTCAGTCGGTGAAGAAAAAATCGCGCGTCCAGTGGACTGAAAAGGAGACCTGGGCGCTGATAAAGCTACGGGAGGACCATTTGGACGCCTTGCGAGGACAAAAGCACAACGGTGGAGTGTACCAGGCGATTGCCGAGAGCCTCACCGACGCTGGTATACCCCGTACACGGGCGCAAATTCACAGCAAAATTGCCTTCGCAGCGTTTAGCTCATCATCGATGGAGCCGACGGCGACAAGAGTCAGGCCCACCTCAACTGTTGCTTTATCTCTGTCTCTGCGCTGAGACATCACAGGACCACGATGAAACGCGGCACGCCGTCACGGACCCAGCTGGACGCAGCCATGTAAAAAGCACGACAAAAAAATTGCCCGCAGCTTCCCTCGGGGGAACACTGAGGAGGATGCGGAGCATATAATTGGTTAACGGGGTGTTAATTGGGCGTGGCATACTGCTTGGCGCGCCACGCCGCTACCTCGGCGCGCTTGCGCTCGCGGGCAGCATCGGGATCGGCCTCTCGTCGCCGACGCTTGCACTCGGCTTCCCGTTTTCGAAAGTCCGGGTCCTCTTGTCGACGCTTACGTTTCAAAGCGGCCGAATCCGGTGCTGCTGCTCGACACTGACGTCTCTCAGCGGCTTCACGTTCTCTAAGTTGAGAATCTTCCGCTCGACGCCGACGTTTACGTTCGGCGTCGCGAGCTCTTCTCCGCGCTGCCTTGTCTTCGGACGACGACTTGGTTGCGGTTCCGCCAACACTTTGGCCGGCGCTGGTCGAAGGGACGTCGATCATTGCGACCTCGGACGTCGACGCGCCGTACAAACCAACCGACGAGCGGCAACTGAGCGAGCGAGCACCGACCTTGAGTATATATACAGCGCGACGGCGCATGCACTGTCAGCTGTCGAATGTTCGAGAAGGGGGAGAAGCGCAACGGCGCATGCGCGCGCGTCAGCTGCCGATGTTCTCGAAGCGTGACGGCGCATGCGCGCGCGTCAGCTGCCGATGTTCTCGAAGCGTGACGGCGCATGCGCGCTACATTATACAGCTAGCGAATGTTCGTGAAGAGGAGAAGCGCACGCGGTGTGTAGAGGAGGAAGGGTGCACAGATGGTGGAGGAGTGAAGCGCGCGCGGTGTGTAGAGGAGGAAGGGATGCACAGATGGTGGAAGAAGGAGGAGGAAGCTTGCGGACGGCGCCGCACTACAAGCATCGAGTATTAGATGCTCCGCATCTAAAAACAAAAACAGCGAAACATCAACTGTTCATAGTTGCCAGAAGAACTTAAGTTGCTGCTAAAAACGCAAAAAGCGAAAGAAAATTACAGGTAGGCGCATTATAAGCCACCAGACAATAAAAAAAACGGTTTTATGCTCCGGCGTCGCTGAATGTGATGTACATGCGCAGATTCTTTTTAATATTTCCAATCTTGCTGCTTCCACGCACAGCGCCTTTTTTTCCGCAGCGTTCTTCTGAGGCACCGCCTAAAGCAGTAGTCTGGTGCCGTGTGTCATCAGCGCCACTCCTTTCTGCAAATGGTCCCCTTAGGCGACAAAAGGGGTTTACTTCAAAGTACTTTACTTTTGTCCGTGTGTCACGGGTATTAGATGCGGAGAACATAAATCGAGAAACGCCCCCGGTAACAGTGTCGGCGATGAAGGAGCAACGCTGGGTGCCGCGAGGCTAGAAGAAAAACGAAGGCGGAAAGCCATGCAAGTGCTGCGGAAAGCGTAATCATAAGCGCGCGACCTGTTCAATGCGTGGGAGGCACTGTTACAAATGTGGAAAACAAGGGCACTTGGCACGCATGTGCCAAAGGATCGACAACGCGTTGAATGTAACAGCCCAAGCCAACGACAGTGATAGCAGCGCGTCGCAACTTTGGTCCGTAACTTCGAAGAATTCATTGGTGCCACCGATTCAGGAAACGTTCACGTGGAACGGCGTAAAGCTGAAGATGGACGTTGATACTGGCTCGCCCGTATGCGTCATTCCTAGAGCAACCTACAAAGCCCACCGTCATCAATGGCCGAAGTTGCAGGAGCCGAAGATAAAGCTGGCGTGCTATTTGGGGAAGCTACCCGTACTCGGAGTACTGTCAATGCGTGTATGCCACAAATCCGCGGAGGTTGATTGTAACCTAATCGTCTTGGACTGCGAAGGTCCTCTCCAGTGCGGTCGTGATTTCCTGCAGAAACTACAAGAGCAGGGCGCAGCAGTACTCCACGTAGCTGCGCCACCGCTCGGGTCGAGCACGGAGTCTCCGCCCACGCCTGCTGTGTTGGACCGCTACTCCGACCTGTGCACGGAGGGCGTAGGACTCATGAAAGGCCCACCGGTGCGCCTTCACATCAAGCCTGAAGTGACGCCAAAGTTCTTCAAGGCAAAAAAGGTACCCTACGTTCTGTTGGATAAAGTTTCAGAGGCATTAGATCGACTCGTGGCAGCTCGCATTGTATCACCAGTGACGCACTCGGAATGGGCTACGCCCATTTTTCCAGTCTTAAAGAAAGACGGCACAGTTCGCATTTGCGGTGACTTCAAGATTACTTTGAACTTAGTTTGCGAGCTGGAACAATACCCGCTGCCTCTTATCGAGGATATTTTTGCGCTATTAGGGGAGGGGGGAGCGGTTCAGCATTTTGGATTTGCGCGACGCCTACAACCAGATCCCGCTAGACAAAGAGTCTCGCAAATTGGCCGTGATAAACACCCACAAGGGCCTCTTTTGCTTCAACCGCCTCCCGTTTGGGATTGCTTCGGCACCGGTGATATTTCAAAGGCGGATTGAATCAATCCTACAGGGCTTGCCTGGGGTGCAAGCGTACCTAGATGACGTGTTGATAGCGGAAGAGGGTGACAGCCAAAACCGCAATCTGATGGCTGTGCTCGAGCGCTTCCGTGAACATGGCATTAAGCTTCGTGCTGATAAGTGCCGCGTTAGCGAGCCCTCTGTTACATATCTAGGTCACCGTATTGACGCGAACGGACTGCATCGCATGGAAAAGAACGTGGATGCTATCAGGCTAGCCCCCTCGCCACAGAACGTCTGCGAGCTACGCTCATTTCTGGGCATGGTAACCTTTTATAACAAGTTTATGCCCGACTTGTCTACCATTCTAGCACCGTTGTACAAACTGCTGGAAAAGGGCGCTAAGTGGACGTGGAGCACCAAAGAAAAGAAAGCCTTTGTCCAGGTGAAAAATGCGTTGTGCGCGGCACCCGTACTCACTCATTTTGACCCGAACCGTGAGCTCTTCTTGGAGTGTGATGCGTCCCCATACGGAGTTGGCGCTGCACTTTTTCATCACACTGAAGGCGAGAAGCGACCCGTAGGCTTTCGATCGAGAACGCTGACAACTGCCGAAAGGAAGTACTCTCAGATCGAGCGCGAGGCGCTAGCCTTGTTATTTGGTGTTACTAGGTTTAGGGACTACCTGTTAAAGCGAGAGTTCACTCTGGTTACGGATCACCAGCCGTTGCTGGGCCTGTTAAGGCACGACCGTCAGACCCCCGTCATGGCGGCAGCCAGAATACAAAGATGGGTGCTACTACTTGGTGCATACAAGTATAAACTGCAGTACAAGCCGGGAAAATTTATGCTCAACGCGGATGCATTAAGCCGGTTACCCCAATCTCTTGAACAGGAGCTGCAGGACGACGAGGATGCGGCCGAGTACGTCCTGGTCGTGGACCAGTGGGACGAGCCGGCGGTGCCCATGAAAGACCTTCAAGCCCTCACGCAGTCAGACGGCGTACTGTCAAGTGTGTGCAGGTACGTCATCCAAGGTTGGCCACAACGCACTGCGGAGGAAGGCACAGAGATGCGGGAGTATCACAAAAGGCGGAACGAGCTGTCCGTGCAGCATAACTTGCTTCACTGGGGTCATCGTGTTGTGGTTCCGGCGGAAGCCAGGAAGAAGCTACTGAAGTTATTACATGGAGCTCATCAAGGAGTTTCTGCAATGAAGGCAGTTGCACGGTCAAAATTTTGGTGGCCTGGCTCGGACCACGATATTGAGCGCTTAGCCGCTGTGTGTCAGCACTGCGTACAGGCGTTGCCCATGCCACCCGCGCAAGCACCCATTCGCTGGCCAGAGACGCAGGAAAGATGGTCGCGACTGCATGTCGACTTCGTGGGTCCGATCCAAAACAAGATACTTCTTGTCGTCGTGGACTTTCACAGTAAATGGAGTGAGGCCATTCCCCTGGCTCACGCGACCTCGCGCAACACAGTCGATGCCCTGCGAACGCTGTTCAGTAGATTCGGTCTGCCACACAGAGTAGTGTCTGATAATGGCACGCCATTCACCGTATGGGAGTTCAACGAGTTCGTGCAACAGAGCGGGGTAGTTCACGTGCGGGCAACCCCTACCATCCACAGAGTAATGGACTCGCCGAACGTGCGGTGCGAACCATCAAAGACGGACTAAAGAAGTGTGGGGACGCAGACTTGTCAAAGACGCTGGCTAGAACACTGTGCCGCTATAGAAACACGCCGCTTCCGTCCGGGCGCTCACCATCAGAAATCATGTTGGGTTACCAGCTCCGCACCCGATTAGACATGTGTTTTCCTCCCAGGAGCCGAGCAACAGGGGATGTCCACTCTGCTGACAGCGCCGGGCGGAACTTCGCACCGGGAGATCCTGTGTACCTTCGCAATTACGGCCGTGGTGACAAGTGGACACCTGGGAATGTCCGGTCAACCTCTGGTGCATGCATCGTGTCTGTCGACACGGAAAACGGGCTTGTTCCCCGGCACATGGACCAGCTCAGGCGGAGAAGCATCGAAGAACCGTCGCGTCCAGAGGCTCTCACTAGCCCCTAGATAAGCCCGGACCCTCCAGTACAAGACTGCGAACCTCCAATGGCTACTGATCCCGGTCTTCCGGGCCACCCGCCCCCATAGCTAAGACGTTCCACACGTATCAAGAAGCCAGTGGAGCGTTATGGATTCTAAGAAAAAAGGAATGCCACGAACTGTTGGCTACCGCTAAACAAGCGCTGCCAGTCTACGCTGCGCGCGACTTCTATCTTATCTCCCTCTTCCCCTTCCCTTACCTTTCGTTCTTATAAAAACCCAAGCCGGTCAATAAACGCCCTCTTTTTGCCCTGACCACTCTGTTCGTGCATTTCAGGGCGCGGCCCAGCCGCGGGGCCGGTTGTAACACTTTCTAAAACTAAGGAGGTTACCCCCAGCGAGTATAACGTAGCAACCCTTTCTTGTCAGATAGTGCTCTATGTACATGCCAATGGCTGCTAACGGGGATCTCGGCGTGCTCGTTAAATAAAATCCGAATGCTCCTGTCTCTCATTCCCCATTAGCATCCATTGGCATGTACACTGAGCACTATTTTTTATTGTTCAACAACCTTGGAGGTCAAAATGTTATACTTGTTATATACTACAATGGCTACGAGGGTTGAACGGGTGTTGCTATAAGGAGCTTCGCCCCTAAAAAAACTGCGGATTATCTCCCCAAAGGGAACCCTGGTGCCATACGAAGCAACAGCGGTGCGCATGCCGTTGACCCGGTTTAAACGAGTGTTGAAGTGAGTGCTGCAAGAAAGGTTTGAAGAGGAACTCGGTGTTGTATTTACTCGGGTAAACCTTTATTTGAAACGGAAAGACACTGGAGGCGGGTCGCGTTTCGTGTAAATTTCATTGCAGATAAACGAGCCAGAATTGTGTTTTCACTCAACGTGCAGTTGAGCGTTGTGGGTGGTGGATAGGGTGAAGCTAGAGTGTGATGCGAGCGGGCGGAGGTGCCGGAAGCTGCGGGCGCTGCGGCGAGTGTGCGGCGGGGGAGGGAGATTTACGTGAGCGTGCACCTGCAATAGAAGCGTGTGAGGAGGAGAACGTGACGTCAACGCGCAAGGCCGGTGTGACCTACTTGGCGCCGCTTTTGTGGACATTTTTTAGTAACTTCGTCCTCATCCCTGAATGATCATAGTCACCATCATCCGCTTGTCTCTTTGTCCTCGTCGCCACTGTGTGTCATCATCATCGCGATGGTCTGGTGCAGACTCTGCCCATACGTTTTGCGAGGTCTTACCTCGAATAAACGCCGTCCTAACCGAAACTTCATACTTGCTAGAGGTGCTTGGTACAATATCAGTTTATAAGATGCTAAGCAGCTCTCGGGCTCACGTGTGTAACGCCGTATGAATGTTCCGCTACGCATTCCCCTCTGCGGCGAGAGGAATGCGGAGAACACCTGTAACGAGGGGAACACCTGCGGCCAGGGGAATGCGCAGCGGAACATTCACACGGACGCACGTTAGTACGGCGTTGCACACGTGAGCCAGAGAGGTGCTTAGCATCTTATAAACTGATATTGTACCAAGCACCTCTACCAAGTATGAAGTTTCGGTTAGGACGGCGTTTATTCGAGGTAAGACTTTGGAAAACGTACGGGCAGAGTCTGCACCAGACTATCACGATGATGATGACATACAGTGGCGACGAGGACAAAGAGACAAGCGGATGATGGTGACCGTGATCATGCAGTGATGAGGACGAAGTTAATAAAAAATGTCCACAAAGTTTCTTGTCACTATTTCTGTTTCTGAGGCTAAGATTGGTACAGCCCATGACCATGCGATTCGTTCAGCACAGCTGCCGGAACCAGAATGAAATGAGCTAACCACGAAGCTAGCAATTCACAGGGTGAGGACGAATTCATTGACAACTCGAAGCACATGAACAAAAGTATTGCAGCCTATTCTTAACCCTTATGCCACCTTGCTGGTTTCCGCAAAACTTATTTGCAATACTTGGAAAAAAACTGCGTTTTTGGTTGGTCCTCCTGAGGTGGTCTATTCTCTCTACATCTTTGTATAACGTTCTGTCTTGTTGGAAGATTAGAACTACGATTAGAACATTAATATGTGCACAAGAAGGTTCCACTACATTATTGCATGACCTAACATGTGCAGCAATTGGAGTGAGTGCAAGTTAGCCCTAACGTTAAAAAGTACAAGGATGCATGAGTATATGCAATTTTAGAATGTAAGATGTATTTCTCAGAGTCTTTACAGGCACAGCTTGTAGGCCAGTATCTTTTCGTACATCGCAAAATGTGCGTTTCTTTATTCGTTATGTTGTTTTCATGAGTGCTGTACCGATAACATTATACAATAATAAAGACTGGTGGGGTTTGATGTCTTAAAACTATGATATGATTATGAGGGACACCGTAGTGGAGGGCTCCGGCAATTTCGATTACACGGGGTTTTCTAATGTTCACCATAAATAAATTCACGCAGGCTTCAAAAATTTTCACCTCTATCGAAAATACCAGCACCGTGGACGGGATTTCATCCCACGACAGCTGGGTCAGCAGCCGAGTAGCTTAGCCACTAGACCACAGTAGCGGGTTTGACTGCTGTAGCGAAATATTCATAAGGTTGTGCTGGCCTGTATACCTATATAGCTGAATATAAATATTATCCTAAGCCGAGTATAGGTTAGTTGGTACTGTTGCATATTCTCAAACCAGCGCTACCATTGTCGTCTACTTTGAGACATGCAATAACGCAAGATAAAGCGACTGGCGGACTTCAAATGCGAATGTCCGCGATGCCTTGGCGATTTCATGTTTGTGTCAGATGCTTAATTATCAGCTCCTACACATCAATTCACCGAGTAAGTGATACCGTTTCTTTCTTTACTGTTTAGCTGTGATGTTATTGCAGTGGTTGCGAATAAAGCTCGTAAGATGGTTTATGCAGTTGAGTGACCTCAGGTCACAATTCCATGGCACAATCCTGTGTAGGAAGCAGTGCAATGTTGCGAAGACATTTGAAAACAAATACAAAAGCTTGTTTTAATGAGATATGTGACCGCCACACAAAGTGTTGACTGTAATATCCATGCCCCGATATAATATACTAAAACAGCTGGACTTCGGAAAAGAGCAGCATTTACTCATCAAAATCACGCCTTTGTCACAGAGTAGTCACTTCGTAGTTCACTTCTTGTTCATCACGAATATCATATCACACGATCAAAAAACAGGCAATGCTAAAGAAACGGTGGCAGAGTTAATCATATGAATCACGAACAACCACAATAATTGACTGCTTCACGGCCATAGCATTTTAAAAAGCGCCTAGATGCATTTTTAAGTATACAATCACGTCGTTTTTAATTTGGAAACATACTAGTCAAAGGTACTAAAAAAGTTGGCAGATTCCACGTTTAGTGAGAACCAATGATATGCAAATCTCGAATGAGAAAGGTTAATATGTCACTTTAAAATTAGTGCTACATTACGAGGCAGAGGTAAATTAGGTCATGCATGGCTTCCATGTCTTTATTATTATGTTTGGACGTCTCATTTACCTTCGTAATTATCATGTCACCTGAAACCAAATTTGGTATATGTGAAACTAGTGAAACGGCCACTAGCACGCTATGAGCATATCATGTAGTGATGCTTTACCTGACACGCTCATCATGATTATCATGTTTAGACGAGTCATTTACGTTCATCGTCTATTCACGTCACGTGATACCAAATTGAGCGTGGTATGTGTTCATTTCTCACATCACACGCGTGACATGATTATCGTGCTTGCACCAGTCATATACCTTCGTCATCCATTCAGGTCACTAACACCAAATTTAGTATATGTGGAGCTAGGGAAACGGCCGCGAGTGCATCATGAAGGGCCAGTTATACTCCGATGGAACGTTGACGCGCGCACGCTTGCCGCAGCAATGCTATCCTACTAAAATACGAACACTATATTTAGACGCCAGGCGCGACCGGCGCGACCAGCGTCCGTCAGCGCAACCCAGCTGCAACCGGCGCGAGATGCGACATGCTGCATTTCGCGCCGATGACGTTACCCAGACTAAAGTGTACCATTGATCTCTACTATAGGTCAGAGGAGTATACTAGAGCACTGCACCAGACAGCCCAGCGTTTGCCTCTCTTGGTGCCTCTCTTGGAGGGATGCCGGGCGCGCTCTAACGTGCATGCTTCAATGCAACGCAACGCAGCACGCGCCTGGTAGTATATGGCAGGGAGAACGGCACCTGGCGTGGCATCGCCGGCGTGACGCGACGAAACGAACGCCGGCGCTCACGTGCGCCGGGTCACGTTGTGGGGTCTCGAATTGGCGAGCGCGCGCCACCCTCTTGAATTGAATGGACTCAGTAGACCCGGTGGGTACTAACCAAGAGCAATACACATTTATTTAACTAATTTAAAACGACGATATCGTCCGCCGAATGATACATAAATCGTAAGTAATACACTAGGACATCCTTACACAATAACACGACAAACGCACTAACACACCCAAGGCAACGTCGCCAACGCTTGACTTACCACACAGGCCCCCGGCGTCGCAGCACGCGGTGCCACGCACCGAGGACCCACGCTAGAGACAACCGTTCACGCCAACCGCCACGCGCAGAAGAG